TTATACCTTTAAAATATAAAATTAAAAAACTCAAAATATATTATGCAGTGAACCCATTTATATATATCGATTAAATTTAAATCCATAAATTAAGTGATTTTATTCTTTTTGCTTTTTTCTCACAGTTAATAACGCGGCGACACAGCATCATCAATTACGGACACATTAACAAAGTCACAAAATCACGAAAAATTCATTCTTGAATATGTTACTGTGCGGCCAGGTCTACTGGTGTTGATGGTGATGCTGCCTCCCCCTCCTCGCCTCTACAACCGTTGGCTCATGCGAATCGCACACCTGCGTCTTGAATTTACACCCGAACCTTCTGTTCAACGACCCTCTCCACCCTCCGCCGCCGCGTGTGCCGCCGCTCTCGATCTTCTCGATTACCTTCCTCATTGTCGAACATTCTCTCTCCAACTGATGCACGCGCGTCCTCATGCTGTCCATGTCCAGCCGCAGCACTTGATTCTCTCTCACCGCTGCCCTCCACGTGCCGTTGTTGTTGTTGTTCCCTTCCTCCGCACGCGGCGCCGGAACTTCCTCCTCTTCCTCCTCATCCTCCTCCTCCTCTCTCCTCATCACTGACAATCTCCCCGGATCTGTCGGCGCTGTCTCCGCTGCCAGCAGCGTCCCTGCGATTGCGTGCCGGAGCTGTAACTGCTCGAAAAACAATACTTGTACCACCGCGCGTAATGGTAGTCTCTCGTTTTGAGCCGCGTGAGTGCACGCCTCTAGCGTCAGTTTCTGACAGTCCATTACGCTGCAAATCTTTTCTCGGTCAGATTCCGGTAGCCATGGATGCGCCTGTAAAATAGGCAAAACATACCGAATCAAATCAATAAATTAGATTATACTGTCCTTTCTAACTTTTGTCTGAGAATTTTGTCGGCCTTTTACCTTGAGATACACGTCGACGGCTCTGTAGAGACCGTCGTCGTAGAGCCTGGCTTGGTCAGGGAGAGAAATTGCAAGATTGTAGAATTTCTCGGGCTTGAGATTCGCGTCCGATGCAATCTCAGAGAGATAACCGTCAATTAGTTTTCCGACTAGCATCAATGCCGGAGATCGAAGGCTGTTATTATCATCTCCGGCCTCCTCTTGGATTCCGGTCGAGTTTCTCTCTTTCAATCCATCCAAGAAGTAGCTTAGAATCCTCTCCACGCAATCAACATCATAGAGTGTTTCATTGAGATAGGAATAGCTTGGAATCAGCAGATCGTCCAAGGTAGCTTGCTCGAGCTGAGATCCTATCTTCTTCTCCAGAGCAGCTTTGCATGATTCAGAGGCGTTTAGTATATTTGCAGTTCTCAACAATCCAAACAGGAAACGAGAAGATGTTGACGATCTGGAGCTCTTCTCCAGTGGAAGATTCGCGATTATAGTCTCCAACAGCTCCCTCTGTTCGTTCTCTGAAGCGGCGGGGCCGGAGGTGGATGGCTTCCGGCTGGACCTTGAAATTCCGGGAATGTACTTCTTGGCGTAATACATAAGGCAGGTTTCTATGATTTCCGGATTCAAATCCCGCGTTTTCATTGCAAAGATCAATCGCTTGAACATCGGCAAACTCAACTGCGCCAGATCTTCAAACCAGGATTCTGCATTGTTTCCCCTGGCCAAATTTTTCCTCCGCAAACCTTTCTCTATCCCGTTCCACGGAGCCTGGCTTGAAGATCCTCGAATTTCATTAGTTCCATCGTTAACCGGCCAGCCAAACAGCGTCGGATCTGCAGAGGACGCCCTGGAAGCGACGGAATCGATGCATCTCTGAACAATGCCTAGACTCTCGGCGAGGGGCAACACTGGCTCGCATGATTTGAGGGCCTTCAGCGATTCTTTGAGGCTTTTGAAGACAGACTGGGAGAGAAACAGTTCGGTCTTGGAGATGAGGTTGTCCACAGAGTATTCCTCCGTCATTTCAAGGAACTCGGCGGCGCAACGGAGCGGGGCGACGTTGGAGGAAGATAGGTCGATCTTGACGCCGTAAGAAAACTTGGCAGCCATCTCGAAGCTCTCGGACCCACCCGGAAATTCCGGGAGGGAAATTTGACAGAGATCGTCGACTTCTACTTGTTCTTCTTCTTCTTCTACCTCCTCTTCCTCCTGGATTTCATGCTGTCCCTCCTGTGATTGCTGCCGCTGTTGTCGCCTGGTGGTAGAGGGCAGTGTCGTTTTCGCCTCTTGCTCTGTTATCAGCTGATGAAGTTTCAGACTTTTCGACATCAAAGGAAACTGAAACACAACCAGAGCAAACAGGATTTTCAGAGCAGTACTTAAAAAAGAGAAATGATTTTGGGTTTCATGAAGCTCACCTTGTGAAGATGAAAACTCATATCATCAACTTCGATTACTATGTCGCTCGGCAACCCAGTAGTGCAAAACCTGCAACAAAAATTCCAAAAAGAAGAAACAGATTTCACATCACATTCAAATGGTAAAGTGAGATTCATGAAGGAAAAGTCAAATTAATCTAACCATGCTTGCCCTTTGCAGCTGGGCTTCTCGGCGGCGGCCGCCATCTTTTCCGGTGAGAAAATCCGTTCCCTTTTAGAACTTGAGTCAGATACTACTAATCAAAGACCCATGAGCTCCAAAGAAAGGTGAAAATGTGAGCGTTCGGAAGGAGGAATTTTGGCGATATAAAGAGAGAGAGAGAGATAGAACCTAAAAAAAACACAGACGGGACAAATGGAGCTTGTAGAAGAACAGATATCGAAAAAGGAGGAAGAAAATGAAATTCATGATATCTTTTCCCGGAATAAAAAATTCCGTTTCCTTTTCTTTCTTTTGGAATAAAAACCAGACTCTCTCTCCCCAGCCTCAAAACGTCAAAGAAAAATTTAAATAAAATAAAGTTTAGAAAAGGATGTCTTTTGAAAGAAATTAAGAAGGAATATACATCTCTCAAATGAGAAACAAATTAACACAATCCCATTGTAATAATAATTAATAAGGAATATACATCTCTCAAATGAGAAACAAATTAACACAATCCCATTGTAATAATAATTAATTAATTCCCTACCTCATTGCCTTCCAACAGGGTTTATTCGCTTTAATTTAGTTGATTTATTATTTTAATATGCACATCAATCATACTATTACTAACCAATCAATTGAAATATTAAAAAAAAAAAAAACTAAACAATTGAAATTTGTTAAATGTTTTTCTACGAATAAATCCAAAGCAAGGGGTCTTAGGAGTCTTTTTTTTAATCAATTTCGTTGCAGATAATAATTACTATGTAGAAAAATCGTATATTAATTTTAATTTTTTAAATAAATTAAAATTTTAATTTTAAATTAAATTATTTAATTTAATTAAAATTTAATTTAAATTTTAAAAATTTATTTAATTAAATATTAATATTTAAATTTAAAAATTAATCATATTAAAATATATAATTAGTTTTTAAATTTATGTATTAATATTAAATAAAATAAATTTTTATTTTCAAATATAAGTTAAAATTTTATTTTTTTTAATCAATATTGATATGTATTAATTTATTATTATTATTTATAATTTTTTCAGTTAAATTTAATGATTAATTGTTGTTTTTGAAACCAGGTAATAAACATCCCTTCGATTGCTTTCAGATAAGTAAATATTTTTTTCTTATCTTAATAGGGTTGTCGAGATTACCAGTTGGAAGTAGACAACGCAAAATGCCAACGGATCTTACTTGGGATGCCTTTTACATCATAGCTAACTGCCTAATGTGATGACATAACTTGATTGCTAAAATATCATAACCAAAGTTGCCCCGAAATTAACACATATGCCCCAAGAATCCAATGAATTGTCCGTCTTACGTTGTTCCTAAGTAATACCGCTAGTAACAACATAATTAGGCTACAATCTTTCCCACAGTGATTTCAGTTTTTTGGGTGCCTAGAATTGGACGATGTGGTCCTTTTTAATTTATGGGTCATGTGGAAATAAATGGGGAACATTTAGTAGATGACCCACATAAACAAATTCCCTGTAACTTCATTGGATGAGGCCTTCTTCGGCTTGAATTCTTCCCCTTTTTTTTGTTCTTGGTTTTCACATTTTGAAATTCAGATCTGAAAATTGAACATGTATGGCGCTCTGCTTCATTTATAGCGGCATATCTACTAGTACCTTATTGTGGATTCCCTTGCTCTCATTTATGGCCATATTAAATTGGGTTGTAGCAAAAGAATGCATTCATGAATGGTGAGAGTTTGTTGACCCGAATGACCCAAGTAAGAAAAATTAAACTTTTGATATGGGTGAGGAGAGATTTGAAAATTTTAAAGATGGAGTACCACATAAGAAAAAAAAAATCTCATCCCACGATCTATTACCAACTCAGCTACTGATTATTACCAAATAATTAAACTAAAAGATGATTTCAAAAGAAGAACAGTGAAAGGAGGAGAAAAAAGGGAATGTAGAAAGCCTAATTGGTCTAAGCTGAATCTTCAGATAATAATGGCTTTTGAATGGAAATGGAAGATAGAAGAAATGATTGAGGAAGTGGACTAAGGAGGGCAACTTTATTGCTGCATTCACGTGGTTAGGTGACTAATCATTGAACAAAATGCATAAAAGAATTGAACAAAATGCATAAAAGAAGGAAGAAGAGGACTAGAGGAGAGCATTAAGGGGGGCACAGCACATACATGGGCCAGCCATGGACATCTTCCATCAAAGACAGGGGAAAGTCCGACCCATTAAAGGCCAAAATTTTACAAAGTTCAGTACAAATTGAACATGCCTTTTGGTTATAGAATTCATAATGGTAAATGTGGGTCACATTGTTTATTTGGAGGAACTGGGACAGGTGCTCTTCTCTGCTCCCCACAAGCACAGAAATCAAATACCGATTTATATCAGCAATTTTCAACCACCGATCTTTTTATAAAATGACATTTACTTACCAACAAGCATCAAATTTCTTTCAAAACTCTATAATGTGAAGGAAAAGCACAAATAACAAAATATAGCAGAACTGTTAGAAACTTGGGGCACCTTACACATGATAATTAATGGTTTGATTCTTCTATGTATTGTTCCATACACTTCGAGAGACTTGTCGGTCAACTATGATGTTGGTCATAGATTATTTATTCCTGACAATGATCTTACTTAGCTGATCAAGTTTATTAAAACAAGCAACTCTAATTGGATATTTATGAAACATATCTTTGCCTCTCAATTATTTATGCATAGCCCCACCATCACTGCAATAAAGATTTTTCCTTGCCTGCAGAAAACAACACCAAGATAACAAAAATAATATAAGATTCAGAATGCTAACCGGTTTTGTTGGGTTGTTGTCCCTTGTTTTTGTATCTTTCTTGGAATTCAAATTTGATCCCCTCATCCTATTAACGAAGGAAACTTCATATACCTGAAGTTGGAGCTGAAGGTGGTCCATGAGGTGGAGGTAGTTGCTTGGGATCTTTCTCGTCGGAGGGGACGACAACTGCGGGCCATGAGCGGCACATGCAGTGCTTTCCCTTGTCAATGCTGGCATAGAGGGTGGACAGGTGTTTGCCGCAACCACCCCACGAGTACTTCCCACATTGCTTGCAATCCACCCTAAAACACATTCTTTGCAACGAAGATTTGGATGCTATGTACTTGAAGACGTTGCTTTGCTTTCGAGTATCATCCTTCTCTTGTTTATAGCTGAACAGAGGGCCTCGTTTAAATCGATCTTTTCTCGTCCTCCTTACACACATAATAATTAACTTCGGGAAGCTGGGCAACAACTTAGTCTTGGGCTTCTCGCAACCCTAAGTAATATGTCACAACGCTCTATTCGCTCCAATGTCACAAGGTTGCCACATTTTATGCGTTAGCATCTTTATATCTAATTTTAAATTACATGTACAATTATGTATAAAAAATTTTATTGTATAACTAAAAAAATAAAACATGAAAAAAAGGTTTGTTCAACCTAGGACATGCGAGAGAGATTAGCAAAGGCACACTAGTACACAATCAAATATAGTTGGCTTGCATGACAATACAGCAGACAGAAGTTAAGCACAGGTAGTCAAGGAAATTGCATAGATATATAATATCAAGCATATTTTAATTATAATGTTATGATTCCACATCACCTCTAAAAACTTCACTAATTATAGCTAGCCTGAGCACAAATTAGTTAAATTCAGGACCATCATCAAGCACTACTATCATCTCCCTTATCAGAGGAAGGATTGATTGTAGGTTTCTTCGCCGAGCTTGATTCTGTTGTGCCTGTATTCATCAGAACTCGCTTCACTCCTCTTCCCACAACACCAAGATCTGTTACTCCAGGCGCTCCATTTGTACGAGCAGTGGAAACGGTTGGAGAGTCAAAATCTCCATTGCTAGTAGCAGTACCCATCCGTGAAGAGTTTATCAAACCAGGAGATGCACTCTTCTCACTGTCCTTTCCCCTGCCAGACATTCCAAGGATTTCTGAAAGAATTGACATTGGATTGGAGACCAGCTGCTGTAGATCTTCAAGCTGCAAACATGAAAAATGCACAAGTAATATAAGCAGCTTAGACACAAAATATTCTGGTTCAGAATGGAAATCTAAGAGCACTTGCCTTCTTTTCCAAGTCTTCAGAGAGTTCACCAAGTGTTTGGATTTCTGCTTCTTTATCTGCCACAGATCTAACGGTGTGAGGGCCATTGGAGGATTGCTGCACACCATCATCTAATTCAGATGCAGCAGATGATGTTGCTGATCCTGATGAACTCTTTACTTCACTTGAGAGTCGCTGAAGCCGTGACTTACAGATTGAGATAGCTTTTTGACAGTAAGGAATTGCCTCTTGTGGCTTAGAGCCAAACTCAAGACACAGGCATATCCGAAAATTTCTGAATTATACAGTGAAGGTAGTAAACAAAGAAGCTTATGAGAATTGAAAAGCACAATCAAGAACAATTCAGATTTCCTTTTTCTTTTATTCTTTTATTTTTTTTACAATACCATATACTATATTATTTCATTAGACCAGAGTAGGAGCACAAATAAAAGTCGACATTTAAAAAGTAGATATTCCTACATCATTCAAGGATACAGTTCAGCTATTTGTCGGTTATCAGGTTCAACCAGTCGCTCTAAAATTGAAAGTGCTTTCTGGTAGTCACTGAGTGAAGATTCAATATCCTCTAAATGGAACATAAGACGAAGAAAATCAACATTTAAGCCCAACAAAATGGTTTGAGAAGAGCCATCATAAAAATTGGTACAGAAAATAAAAAAATCCACATAGGAGAAGTATAAGATCAGAGTTGTAATCAACAAGTACCCAACCTCTTTCCAAAGCAACTTCTGCAAGTGCAGATAGAATATCCACTTTCTCCATTGTGTCTCCAACATGCTGTTTTTCAGCAATTGCCCTAGCAACATCTAGCATTTTCCATGCCAAATCCAGGTCAGGCTCATCTTCATCTGCTTCAGCCACATCATCACTGTCACTACCACCCTCATCTTCTTCCTCACCCTTCTCACCTGTAACAAACTAATAGTTAACAATTTGTTTTATAAGACAACAGATGCAGTTGATCGAACCAATTCTTCTATAGCAGGCATGATTGATTCAAGTAATAGCTGCAAACTCAGAATTTTAGATTGATTAAAGCAATTTTGACAACAGTGCCACATTCAAAAAATTTTGGGGGTAACCAAAGTCAGTTCCATTCTAGCAACTTTTGACATGTAAAACCAACTTTCCCAATACTCTTCCAACAAACTTTCTTATTTTTACATTATTGTCCTCTTAGGTTGTAGGTTTGTGAATATAGACATAACAAAGAATGACTATTCCAAGTTTTAATGAACAACCAACTACTGTGTCTTCAAGCCAGCTACTTATAGGCAGACTTCACGAGCAATACACTAACCATCTTCCATTTTGCCTTCCTGACGAGTTGAACTTCCTTCTTCTCCAGCCTTACTAGAAACTGAAGCCATGGAAGATTCACCATTTATAGCACTCTTGACAGATCCATCTTTATCCAAATTTTGTTGCGTTTCACCCTCCTTCTTGGGCACAGAGACCAAAGGATCAGCTTCCTCTTGAGCTTTGTACAACAGTGCACGTCCATACAGGTAATATGCATTGAGGCATTCAAGAGCAAGTTCTCCATAATGTGCAACCCTAAAACAACAAACTTGCTCTTAGATATCAGAAAACATCTATAAACCGAAAGGAACCCTAATTTGGAAGGAGCAAATAAAAATTAGGCACCAGAGAAAAACACACAAGAATACCAGATAAGAAAAATTCAAACCCCAACTCGAGTTTTACTCAACTTAAATCACACCCTGTTTCACCTGAAACTGAAAATTGGAAAGAAATAAAGAGACGAATCGAAACCTAACGCAAACCTGATCTCCAGGGAGCGGCTAAAGCACTCGGCAGCTTCACCAAAGTCGTTTTCTTTAAAAGCCTTGGAGCCTTTCTCGGCCAACTCGTCTGCAAACTCGAGCGTCTTCTCTCGATCAACGTCAGTAAGGAGAGCAGAACTTTCGGCGTCATTGATGTTGTTGCAAGTGGACTCGGTACC